GTCTTACTGAGAAGGGGGTCAGGGGGTCTTTTTGTGCCCAAGTTTTAATGAGGGTCAAAGGGTGTCTCTGTGCCTGGATTTTCTTGAGGTCTGGGTCGGGGTGGGTTTTGGGGCTGGCTAACTGCTGGTTTCTTTGCAGTGAAGAGTCCACACACCCAGAAAGTAGGAAAGCTGGGAGGCCCTCTCCCTCCTGCCCTGACCCACCCCCACTCCCAGCTGGGATCAAAGCCTACCTTAACCTCACACCAAAGCAGCTTCTAGAAGTCGGAGCTTATGACGGGGGGCCTGCCAGAGAGGTGGGGAGTGTTTCCAGGATAAGTTTCAGGGCCGCATCCACTGCTGCTCTGAGTATCTCTGGGAGCATGTCTGTTTTATACCCACAGAGGAATCTCAGGATCTGCTGGGATCAAACCCACCAGGTGCCTCACCTTGAAAGCCGTGGTGTCAGATTGATCTCTGTTTGAACCAAAACTTTGATTTCAGTTTTTAAAAGGTGCACCTGTGCTGCTACCCAGCCCTCCCCTCTAAAAAACCAACAAAAAGGGGGCACAGGGGAACGCCAAGGAACCCAAGCCCCAACCCGTTCACCAGAGGGAGTCACTGGCTCCACAGGACCTGGAGCCTTCACATGGGAAGGGATAGGACAATGGCAGAAGAGTTACAGACCCCTCCATGTGTGCTCAAGCTCATGGGGAGCCTGCCCCCCCCCCCGACAAGACCCTCGGTGTGTGCCCAAGGCTGGGCAGTTGGCAGGGAGCATCTTAGCCTAGGCACTGGAGAAAGTGCTGGTCACCCACTTCCTGCATTGTGCAGTTCTGTTGTTCTGCTGGATAGGAAAGTAGAGTAAAGCAAGCCTTCAGGGCTGGCCCGTGACCTTCAGGACAGGTCACCCAGAAGAACATCTTCTCACAGAGGTGGTTCAGGAGACTGATGGTGTTGCGGGGGCCCCTGGAATTTAGCAGTTCCCTCCAAAGCAGCTCCAGCTCCTTAGTGGGGAAGCTTGCAGAATTTGGGGAGCATAAGCATAAGTGAGAACACAGGGTATAGGGGCAGGCAAGAATATTCTGGAAGAATGAAAGTTCCCACACAGCCTGAGCTGCATTGCAGCTTTCAAAATTAGGATTATACTGCATAAATCAGTGTAAGAACACAGATCAGGCCTAAACAAGCCCTCTAGTGTGAAGATGGGGAGCCGCCACACCAAGCCCCCCTCAGTGTGCTGCAGCCTCTGGTGAGATGCCAGGGGCAGCACATGCACTTCTGGGACAGACACTTCAGAGCATTGTCACTTTTTAAACTTTCTAGCACTTGAGAATCTTGAAGTTGAGGGGAGTCTAGGGTTCAGGGAGATGGGCAAGAGAGGTCCGCTGGGCCTTCCCAGGCCCGGGGAGGGTGCAGCAGCCCTGTTGGAGAAACTTACACCACTATCAGAGCCCCAGGGTCAAGTTGCCAGAGTAGCAGGTAGTGGGGGGAGGAGGAGAAGTGAGAGCCCTGGCTGGCTCACCTGCCCCTGCCATCTCCTCCAGTGATGTTCCAGGCTGCCCAGAGTTGTGGGAGCTTCCCCTGCCCCACCCTGCAGGAGCCAGGAGCAGGGTCCCAGGTTCCCTCTGCTCTCATTGTCCAGGCTTCAAGGCCGAGTGGCTGGCGGTGAAGGACGAGCATCTGTATGTGGGTGGCCTGGGCAAGGAGTGGACCACCCCCACAGGGGACGTGGTGAATGAGAACCCAGAGTGGGTGAAGGTGGTTGGACCCAGAGGCAGCGTGGAACACGAGAACTGGGTGTCCAGCTACAACGCCCTGAGGGCCGCCGCTGGAATCCGGCCACCAGGTGAGAGCCCTGCTCAGAGCAGCTACCAGCCCCTAGAAAGGTGTTCTCTGAATTTGCAGGTCTGTCTGGGTGATTGTGGCTGCCACCAGCAGTGGCTCTGGGCAACCAGTGGGTCTACTCTTTTTTCCCTTACCCACCTGACATCACCTCCACCATCCTAGCAGCAGCTCCAGGGTCTCCTCTGCTGGTTCTGGCTCACAAGCCCTGCCTGGCACCTCACTCTCATACATGCCTGGGAAGGCCCGCAGTGCTCTGGTCTCTGTCTTGGTGTCCTGAGAGTCATCGTGACAGGTGTGAGTGCTGGAGTAGGCCTGATTGCTCCACGTTTAAGAGGGCGTGACCTAGTCCCCATGCATTTTCCATCCTGAAATGGGAAGGAGGGCTGCCTCTCTGCTCCAGTGTACCCTAGTGTCCGTTTGGTTTTCCTTTCCTGGGCTCTTTGGTCAGAACCAAGGAAATGTGCATTCTGGGGTGTCTTGCTGGCAGCTCTGGCATAGCCAACTTGGGGAGCAGAGTGCTGGTTGGGGGGGCCTCACTGCCCTGGATGGTCGAGAGCAAAGGCAGAAACTCTTCTGGAGACCTGGGGGGCCAGAGACAGAGGGAAAGGGAGGCCACTGTGCTGACAGGCCCTCGAGCTCCGCAGTGCCCCCAGCGGTTCCCAGCCCAGCTCCTGATCTGATGACTCCTGTATCCCTGGCCTGGCCCGGCCCGGCCCTCACATCTGTTGAACCCCTGTACTTGTCTCCAGGCTACCTTATCCACGAGTCTGCCTGTTGGAGCGACACACTGCAGCACTGGTTCTTCCTGCCACGCCGGGCCAGCCACACACGCTATAGTGAGAAGGAGGACGAGCGCAGGGGCACCAACCTTCTCTTGAGTGCCACCCCAGACTTCAGCGACATCACTGTCAGCCACGTGGGGGAGGTTGTCCCCACACATGGCTTCTCGTCTTTCAAGTTCATCCCCAACACGGATGACCAGATCATCGTGGCTCTCAAGTCTGAAGAAGACAGTGGCAAAATCGCCACCTACATCATGGCCTTCACACTTGACGGCCGCTTCCTCCTGCCAGAGACCAAGATCGGAAGTGTGAAGTATGAAGGAATAGAATTTATTTAGATTTTAAAACTTCAGCTGTTAACCAAGGCTGAGGGGTGGACAGTCTGAAGCTGCATCAGGACTCAGATTTTACAAAAGCCAGAGGACTGCACTTTCCGTTTGTCTCCCTCCAGAGCAATGAGGCATGCCTGGCTTAGCGGTGTCAGAGTTGGGGGCTTGGTTCCAGGCTGGGAAGGGCGGAGGTGCTGCGACCGCCATGCTCCCCGCATCTCTGCTGCCACCTGGTGGTGAGATCCATCACCATCATGTCCAGAGCTGGCTGGCCCTTCCTTCCTTTTCTTTCCTGTTCTTGTGTTCAGTAGAATTCCTGTGTTTAGGAAAGCCCCCTCCCCCAGCCCCAGTTACAGTGAGTATGAGGTGGACCTGCCTTCTGGGAACTCCCAGGCCACCCCCGTTTTTTCCTACTTTGTGAGCCTAGGGCATTACCTCCACCCCTGCAGATCCTTGGCAAGAAGATGTTTACATTGCAGGACACCACAGCGCCCCCAGGACACATCTGCCCACAGTTGCCACAGGAAGGGGCACGGGCCCAGCCTATCTGTGGTTCCCACTTAAAACATCTCCACTTACATCCAGTGGCTCTGCTCTCTCCCTTCAGGAACATTCTGTGGCTGGATAGCACTTTGAAGTTTTAATTATTAACCTATTTTAATTAAAGCAATTTCCTTTCTTATAAAATGGAATCACTAAATTTTATCACACAAAGTCCTGTAGTTAGCCAATCTATTCCCAGCAGTTGGGGAGATTATAACAAAGCAGTTACAGCTGGTAAAGCAAGTTTACAAGTGTTTCTGAGTTCTTGGCCAATGAATGCAAAGATAAAGAAAACATTTTTCTAGTAACTATCAGAAATCACCATGCCTTTCAAGAGTTACGACTTGAATTTTTTTATTCCTGGCTCAAGAGAGAGCCTTTTCTGACACTCCAGCAGTCGACCCAGCCCCTGGCCCCGCCTCTCTGGAGGTGAGAGTGGCCTGCCAGGCCCCTGGGCTCTTTCCCTGCCCTTTTTTTCTCCTCTTCCCAGTGGGAGTTCTGTAGCCTCTTTTCCATGAAAACCCTTCACACAAACTGTCCTGGTTGTCGGTCCCTGCCATCTCTCTGGATGCTCTAGGGCAAGGGCAGAGTGAGGTTTGGGACAG